TTCGGCATTTTAATGGTTTTTGCCACATTTCTTCGCGGATTTGCCTAGAAATTGGTATTTGTTGGTGTTAATGGGTTCTAGCTCTGTATGTATAGGTCCACGTTTTTGTATAGCCCCATATAGCCGTATTTCCCGATATTCGGTATTTTGATGATTTTTGGCACATTTTTCCATGAATATGTCTAAAAATTGGTATATGTGGGTCATAATGGGCTCTAATGTTTCCTTTACCCTAGGGTGGAGGGTATTAAAAGTTTGGCCCGGCCGAACTTAATGTTTAAGTATTTAGGTATCTCACTTCAATAGAATGCACTCCAAAACAATAATATTTGGTGCCAGCTATCGGAGATAACATGCAAACACCTCTGCTAAATTTTATAAAGATCGGTTTAGATATAGCTCCCATATATTACTTCATCTGATTTCTTGTATATTATACACTAAATGTGTAATGTAAGCTAAAATGGGATATATTTTGAGGAAATCGGAAAAGGAAGTTTCAGATATACATATATTTGTTCCAATATAAGGGCACTTTAAATTGAGAGAAATGTTTCTGTCAAATTTGGTGGAAATCGCTTCGAGCGGAATATTCAAATTAGCATGATGTATGAAGTACATAAAATCCCTACATAGACGTTAATTTGTCACGGTTATCATAAAGTCGGCCCGTCGAACTTGTGACCTTTCTGTACCGATTTAATATGAAAACTCTAGTACAGAGTTGGATTTTTCCTAATTCCCTTGTTTTTTTTATTCTTGTACTTTCTGCAGTTTTTTAGAGAGATTTTTACAACAAGTTTGTGATCAAAGAACGGAAAAATCACATTTGACAAAAAAAAATGTAAAGCAGATGATAAAATTTTGTTGGAAATATTTTGAATATTTCCGAACGATTTGGATCCTCGAGTACCCATATCAAAATGTTTTTCAATATATGTTTCATGGCTGCCATACAACGGAGAACAGAACTACAACCCCATTTGTAAAATCTTGAATTTTTTTTATCAAATTGTATCAAAACTATCAATCGGTGATGAATACATAAATATTTTTTAGCATTAGGTTTCATTACAGTATATATACATATACACGTGCATATATATAAATAAAATAACAACTAGTTTAACATTTGTAATTTTTCTAAGTTACATACTTTACACACAAAACACACTATAAATATTTATAAATATGATGAAATAAATTAATTATAATTATTATGATTACAAACTATTATGTTTCTCATTACAACAAAAAAATTATTATTACTACTTATTATTATTATAAATACAGCAGAAACAAAAGAAAATTCAAAAAACAAAACAACAAAAACATTAAAGCGAAGAATTAATGAAACAGAAGAAACAAGTAAAAAACAAAACAAATAAATTTATTATGTAGCAAAAAAAAAACATAACAATTGTTTTATTTCAAGTTATACAGGGTGAGATGAAAATAATTGCAACCAAAATCAGACCGCTGTAATTTCTAAGCCACTAGTCCGACAGCTGTTAAAATTATTCCAGTGACAGCTCATTATTCGTGATGGAATTCAAGCGGAATTCAATAGTATGATTTCTTTATATTTGGCTGGAAAACCACAAGTGGCTTTCGTTAGAACACTCCAGCATTTAAATGTGAATACATCTTTTGTGTCTCGTACTGGTAGCTTAGCCCGACGTCAAGGAAGTGGACGGAAGAAAACAGCAATATCAGCAGAAATGGCTCGAAAAGTAAACAAGCGGCTTGATCGAAACCCGCGTCGCAGTGGCCGAATAATGGTTCGTGAGCTGAACATTGCGCAATACACCATTCGGCAAATATTGAAAAATAAGCTCGAGGTAAAGCCATTGAAATTCCAAAAAGTGCAAGAACTTACACCGCAACTGAAAGAAAATAGACTCAAAAGAGCTACTGAGTTGCTTCGCTTGGCCGAATGTGGTGAACTGCTGAATTGGAAGTTCCGATGATAAAACATTCGCTGTTCGGCAGTTTGTAAAAAACCAAATAATTGTGTTTACTTGCCAAAGAGGTCAGCTGAAAATGTGCACCTTCGGTTGGCCACCAGAACTCAAGCGCCGGCCATGGTGATGGTGTGGGCGGCCATAACAGCCGATGGTCGCTCTCCGCTCGTATTGACCGTGGCATCAGAATAAATGCCGAATATTATCGCGAGTATATTCTGGAGGGGGTATTAGCCTTGAACACGCAAACATTTAGGCCGCAGACCTTGGACATTACAAAAGGACTCCAGGAAAGGCACCATCGCACTCAGCACGCGCCACCCAAGAAGGGTTGCAAAATGAGGTTCCTCGCTTCATTTCCAGCCCACAATGGCCACCAAAATCTCCGGATACCATTCCGTTGGACTATTGTGTCTGGAGTATTTTGGAAAGCAAGGTTGGCACTAACAAATACCAAAGCGTCGATCACCTCAAGCAAGCGCTTCGCCGGGAATGGACCAAAATACTGCAGAGCAACAGTCTGGCAGCGTGTGACAGTTTCATTGGCCGTTTGAAGGCCATAAATAAGCTCAAAATTATTTTAAAATTTGATGCTATTCCGATAATGTTTGCTTTCATGCAAAAATAATTTAAAAAAAATTTAAAAATTATGTCGTTTGACTTTGTTGCAGTTTGTTTTTTATCTCACCCTGTATTAGCCAGGCTAAAAGTTTAGGAAAATTACAGATTTTGCTTTAAAGCCGCCGTGTTAGAGCAACAGAAAACTATTATTATGAGTGAAATAACCTCTTACTGTAAACCTTTATTATATTTGAATAATTTTTTCGTGAGGTATCGGTCGAAATGTTGAATAGAGTTTACGCCAAAATTGGACTAAAGGGACCGTATATCAGTAAAAAAAAAATATGCATTTTCTGAATTTTACAGGATCTTGTTTCCTATAGTTTTTAAAATGTCACCCACTCTTTATTGTATAAGTTAATCTTTATTATATGTTCAAAAATGCACAGGCCGACATTGAAATGATTTAATGATTGTTCGTACTCTTAGCGCCATCTAGTAATCCTAACATTGGTAACATATGAATTTCCGGTTTTATTATGAATAACGGATAGGCGTCATCTACTGACAAATAGTAAGCATCATACCTTATTGGTAAACAGGGTGTCTAGTGAAACCGAAATGTAAAATGTACATTAACTTGTGTTTCCGGTTTAAAACTAATTTCGTTTGCGTGGTTGCATTTCATTGTATGGCAAGTAAGAGTAAACGAAAAAATTTTCGAGTTTTGCCTTATTAAAGCGAAGATCATATGTTTTATGATTTATGTGTTTGTTTTCTCTTTCGAGACGAGCTTAATGATCTGAAATTTGCAGTGAAAAGGAAAGCCAGATAGACACTATCACACACTCACCACTATGCGACGCGTTCCGCCGTTGGTTAAGCGGCCGTCTCTACGTTCAGAGCCATTAACCCGTCTTCCTAAAGCAGCACTAAAACAAGTGTATGCATTGGAAGCAATGTAGTTGTTGTGGACAAAAAATCCATCACTACAAAAACAAAACTTTGCTGGTAAAAAGATCTGCCAATAGAACTTGAGTCGAACCTGGAGAGTTTCTAGTGTATAATTGGCATATGCTAATTTTGCAATAAGTTCGAAATATATACTACTTTCCAGAGAACGGCCCTTGTAAGCCATCATCCACATCAAATATGCCTGATGAGCCGCTTAACCAACGGCGAAACGCGTCGCATAGTGGTGAGTGTGTGATAGTGTCTATCTGGCTTTCCTTTTCACTGCAAATTTCAGATCATTAAGCTCGTCTCGAAAGAGAAAACAAACACATAAAAAAAATTTAGATTTCGTCTTCTTATACCGAAATCAATATTCTAACATATATTTTTCGGAGGACTATTAATATTTTAGAATATACTTTTCAGCGATAAAATTAAATTTTTATACCCTCCACTATAGTATGGGAGTATATGAAGTTTGTCATTCCGTTTGTAACATCTCGAAATATACACTTTAGACCCCACAGCGTACATATATTCTTGATCAGCATAAAATTCTATGTCGATTTAGCGATGTCCGTCCGGCTGTGGAAATCACTCTAGCTGTCGAACGAAATGAAGTAGATTGATAAAATTTTACTCAAATGTATATTATGTCTGCAGAACTTTTGGTATTGAAAATGGACCATGTAGGTCCACGTTTTGGTATAGCCCCCATATAACGGTATCTCCCGATATTCGGTACTTTGTTGATTTTAGCGACATTATTCACCGTAATTCTTTCAAATTTGGTATTTGAAGTTCGTAATGGATACTATAGCCTAAGACAGAAAATTGTCTGTGCAGGTCCACGTCTTCGTATAGCCCTCATATAACCCTCCCGATATTCGGTATTTTGATGATTTTAGCTACATTGTTACCGATTTTTTTTAAGTTTCGCATTTGAATATTGTAATGGCTTATGACAACTACATTCCGCATTTTTAAGATTTAGCAGAATTTTAACCGGATTTTATTGTTTTTTAGAATTGCCAAATTCGTTAAAAATTGTGAAGGGTATTCAACGGCTTTTTACTTATTTTGATCTACAATATTGCTGACGACACTATATATCTACAATTCACGGATACCTAGGAATCTTAATCAGAATATTTCCAAAGGTGTGAAAGGAAATGGGGGTGGAGAAACATGACCCTCTCTTTTTTGTTTTTTTATGTAAACATTCAAATCGATTATATACGTGTCTTCTATTTTTAGTTGTGCTTTCATAATCCGCTGGATTTTCCCCATAATTATTGAAAGATTGAAATTTGTCTCACAGTGCTATAAATATATGCTCCCTTTAAATTGTTGTTGGAGGACTAACTGGCTTTCTTATTGTCCTCCAAAAACTGATCTGTTCTACATCTGCAAGAATGTAAAAATATTTACTACGATATCAGATTTTCTATTTATAATATCGAAAATAATTACAAAACTAGTACATTCTAACAGGTTCTGGAACATAGAAAAGATAAAATGTAACAAGTTTTCAAAAGTCCATTTTAATTTAATTTTTATTTCAAAATTTGTTATCAATTTTCAAAATTTATTATAAATTTCATATCTTAATCTTTTAGATATTATAAACTTATAAATCTTATAGACATATATACAGGTATTGTCTTAACTATATATAAAAAAGGAGGATCGTTATAATACCTAGATCTCTATAAAACTACCACTGGTATTATGAGAATTTTCAATTCAATTCTTAGACATATATACAAATGTTAAAGTGTTGAAATTACGAAATGTTTATATGTAGAACCAGTCACGGGGTACATGTTTCAGGAACTGATTGGTCAATTTGCCAAATTCCATGGCTAATTTTTTATGCAGCTGAGGTTGCATAGCCTCCAAGACAACGCGGACATTTTCACGCAAGAACAGATTGGTGGCTTCGACTGGAAAAGTAAAAAAAGAAGAAGAATATTTAAATATTTCAAATAAATAAAAGGTTTATTTCAATACTCACGCAAAACACGATTATTGTTGAAGGCATTCGAGATTGACATACTGGCCTTTTCCACATCGAGGGTAATGCTGAAGGCATCCAAATGCATATAGGTTTTTCCATTTCTCACGGGGGTTGATACCTTTCCGGTGAGATTGGCTTTGCAACCCTCTGCACATAAAAAACCAACAATTTAAAATCTTGTTCTCCAAAAAATATTTCTTAAAAAATCTTACCAAAAACGGCATGGAAATCACCACCACCCGAGGCGGGTATGATCAAAAGAACACCAGAGCTAATATATTTCGATTCGATTTTCAATTTTGGCATAACAATCTGGGCTGTGAAGGGTTCGCCATTTTCACTTAGTTTCATCGACTTCACATCAAAGTTACTGGCACCAAATACTTCCAAATCTTTCAGTGTGATTTTATAGCCCTGAGGTCCATCGGTCAACTGCAGTGACAACTCATTCATGTGGAAGGGTTCAATAGAGGGTACCTGGAAGTAAAAAAAAAAAAATAATGTCAGTTTATACAGCATTTTAAAAACATGTTTATCCTGATTCACACAGAGTTCAAAATCATTGTTTGACTTATTTGCCATATAAAACCCCTCTACGTCCGATTTCTACTTTGGCGTGTATTCTAGGCTTTGAGCATGCAAATAAATAACAGCCTCTTCTCTTGGGTGACAAATCCAATTCGGAAGTTAGGAAATAAAAAGGTACCTTAAATGCTCAGCCAAGTGAGCCGAATTATGTGAAAAAAATATTTTTGTCAGTGCTAATGGACAACGTCGGCCCAATCCTTCAAGTACCTCCCCCAAAAGGAATATTTGGAATATTTACAATTCTTATAAAATTTAAAATAAGCGTCCGATTGTCTCGAAATTTCACAAATCCAAACATTTTTATACCCTCCACCATACTATGGAGGGTATATTAATTTTGTGATTCCGTTTGTAACTCCTCGAAATACTCATGTCAGACCCAACAAAGTGTATATACATTCTTGATCAGCGTAAATTTCTAAGTCGAGTTAGCCATGTCCGTCTGTCTGTCTGTTGTAATCACACTATCTTTCGAAGGCTTAAATTTTGCACACATGTATACTTTGCCAGTAGGCAGGTTAAGTTCGTTAATGGGCCATGTAGGTCCAAGTTATCATATAGCCCCAATATAAAGGTACCTCCCGATATTCGGTATTTTGATGATTTTAGCGAGATTATTTACCGGAATTGTTTCAAATTTGGCATTTGAAGTTCGTAGTGAATAATACAGCCTAAGACAGAAAATTATCTGTGCAGGTCCACGTCTTCGCATAGCCCCTATATAACGGTACCCCCCGATATTCGGTATTTTGATGATTTTAGCGACATTATTTAACGGAATCGTTCCAAATTCGGTACTTGAAGTTCGTAATAGATACTGCAGCATTAAAGAGAAAATGGGCCTTCTAGGTCTACGTCTTCGTATAGCCCCCATATACCGTATCTCCCGATATTCGGTATTTTGATGATTTTAGCGACATTATTTACCGGGATTGTTTCAAATTTCGCATGTGAAGTTCGTAATGGATACTTCAGCCCATGCCAGAAAATTGTCTGTGCAGGTCCACGACTTCGTATAGCCCCCATATAACGGTTCCCCCTATATTCGGTATTTTGATGATTTTAGCTACATTATAAAAGATTTTTTTTGAAGTTTCGCATTTAAATATTATAATAACTTATGACAAAAGTTGCCTATGCAGGTTCACGTCATCGTATAGGCATTCGGTATTTTTAAGATTTTATCAGAATTTTTAACGGATTTTATTTTTTTCTTTTGGAAATTGCCAAATTTGTACCAAATGGTAGAGGGTATTAAAAGTTCGGCCCGGCCGAAATTACAGCTTTTTTTCTTGTTTTTAACACAGATCTGGTTTGAAGATGGGCTATATCGGTACATTCTAGTTGGTACCTTTGCTGCAACGGATCAAAGTTTTGAATAGCCACGAAGCTCGTAAAACGCGAAATGAGCATCTGATTCCTTTCAAACTCGGCACATGACAATATTTCTATCAACACATGATCTCTTGTGAAGATGGTAGATGTCAGCCCAATCCCTCTGGTACCTCTCCACAAAGGGTCAGCATTTTGAATAACCAAACGATTTTAAGATGAGAACTGAGATTCCAAATATATTAAAATTTCATACATCCCAATATTTCTGCTAAACCATTATATTGTGCGAAGAATATATATATACAGGACCACTCCTTGTGGTACTTCTCCCACAACGGGTCAAAATTTGGAATAATCCAAACTTTCAAAAAATGCGAAGCTCATTTCAATTCCCATTCATTCTAAGCTTCACTCTTTCCAATATTTCCCCTAACACATGATATTGTGTAAGAATGGAGTATATAGGGTTAATACTTATGGTACACTGTGCAACACAAAAAATAATTAAGGGGAAATTCAGCAGCTTTGAAAGTGGAGCTGAAAAACACGTTTATCGGAGGTTTTCAAATTTTACATCGAAAATTAACGACAATACAGGGCGAGATGAAAAAAAAAGCTGCAACAAACTTCAGACTGCTGTCATTCCTAAGCCACTTGTCCGACAGCTGTTAAAATTATTCCACTGACAGCCCATTATATTGTTTACAAGCCTACAAAAGCATTTTTGTGAGAATTCTCCAGAAAAATGTTATTCGTGATAGAATTCAAGCGTGAGATAGTGTGATTTCTTTATATTTGGCTGGAAAACCAGAAGTGGCTATCGTTAGAGCACTCCAGCATTTAAATGTGAATAAATATTTTGTGTCTCGTACCATCGGACGTTAACGTGATACTGGTAGCGTAGCCCGACGTCAAGGAAGTGTACGGAAGAAAACAACAACATCAGCAGAAATGGTTCGAAAAGTAAAGAAGCAACTTGATCGAAACCCGCGTCGCAGTGGCGAAAAATGGGTCGTAAGCTGAACATATCGCAATATTCCAATCGGCAAATATTGAAAATTGAATTTCCAAAAAAGTGCAAGAATGTAAGTCGCAACAGAAAGAAAATAGACTCAAAAGAGCTAAAGTGTTGCTTCGCTTGGCCGAAAGTGGTAAACTCAAGTGCCGGCCATGGTGATGGTGTAGGCCGCCATAACAGCCGATGGTCGATCTCCGCTCGTTTTTATCGACAGTGGCATCAAAATAAAAATATTCTGGATGGTGTATTGAAGCCTTGTTCACGCAAACATTTTGGCCGCATACCTTGGACATTCCAACAAGTCTCCAGGACAGGCACCATCGCACTCAGCACGCGCCACCCAAGAATGGTTACAAAATAAGGTTCCTGCTTCATTTCTAGCGCACAATGGCCACCAAAATCTCCGGATACCAATCCGTTGGACTATTGTGTTTGGAGTATTTTGGAAAGCAAGGTTGGCACTAAAAAATACCAAATGGTCGATTACCTCAAGCAAGCGCTTCGCCAAGAATGGGCCAAAATACTGCATAACAACATTCGGGCAGCGTGTGACGGTTTCATTGGCCGTTTGAAGGGCATAATTCGTGCCAAAGGTGGTCAATTCGAACAAATCTACACTTATTCTAAAATGTGATGCTACTTCCGACATTTTCGGCTTTCATTCAATAAAATTAAAAAAATGTAAAAATTATGGCGTTTGACTATGTTGTAGTTTTTTTTATCGCACCATGTAGATACATGGCCTACTCGGAGATTTTAAGTGAAATTTTGTATATTACTTTAGAATATTACTTCTTTGCACACCATCCACCTAAAACCAAATTTTATGAAACATTTAGGCATAGAATTGAAAATAGTCTGGGGAACATGTGATAAAAAAATTAGGGGATATACCTTTGGATTTTTTTGGAACCTTGATGTTAGAATATTTTTGCAAATTATAGGAATCGAGATTTCTTTTCCTCATTAGCTCAAAGTAAAATTTGATGCAGAATATTTTTTATTTGACGTCATCCCTCTAAAATGATGATTTGTTGCAGATTTTTCCACAAACACACACAAAGTACGTCTTTAACCCTAAAATGGGTTTTAAATATATATGAGTTATTGGGTTTAGCTAAGTTTTACTCTTTCGACGTCTTCTAAGACCCATTGTAGAGTACAGTAGACTTATAAAATTTCCAAAAATCTGGAACAGGGAGGAACTTGCCCCTCCTACTTTGGTTACTTGTCGATGTAAACATTCAAAACGCCGATACATGTGTCTTCTTTATATACCCTCCACCATAGTATGGAGGGTATATTAAGTATGTAATTGGTATTTGAAGTTCGAAATGGATACTACAACCTATGACAGAAAATTGTTCGTGCAGGTCGTATAGCGCCCATATAAGGGCACCTCCCGATATTCGGTATTTTGATGATTTAAGCGACATTATTTGCCGGAATCGTTTCAAATTTAGTATTTGAAATTCGAAATGGATTCTACAGCCTATGAAAGAAAATTGTCTGTGCAGGTCCACTTCTTCGCATAGCACCCAAATAATGGTACCTACCGATATTCGGTATATTGATGATCTTAGCGACATTATTCACCGGAATTGTTTCAAAATTGTTTCCCTTAATTATTTAAAAAAATTACATTTGTTGCACAGTTTTATATTTAAGTTTCTTATCTTTACATATATATCTTTGATTACCTAAAAAAAAATGTTCCCAAATCGACACTAGCAACCTTTTTAAAATTCTTCCTAAACTTAAGTCTTTGTAAAATTATAACCCACTTTTTAATAACTTGATAATAAAACTTGCAGTTCTTCCACACAAGAACTACAATTTTAGCAATAAAACTTTGGCCATAACAAATCATGTAATAACATGCTAAAAAACTTCAGTTTGTAATTATGTGGCCATAACCTGAACACAAACAATAAAAACCAATTTTCGTCGTTTTAGCACATTACTATTTAAAAAATGAGAATTGCTTAAAGTTTTAGATTTTAAGAGTTTAAAGACCTATGAAGGTTTTTCGGTTTTTGTTTAGTTTTTTTTTAAGAATTGTTTTTCGCTTAGTTCTATGAACCAGAACCTCAATGGTTGTACAGAAATATGTGTTTACGTCAAACATGCACATCTGTTTTCATTGTATGCATATACCATGTAATCATAGGCTAAATATTATTTGGCATAACATGAACTTTAGAATCGTCTTTTAACAGTAAAGTATTAAAAAATACGCATAAACGATGGACAAGGAATACATAAGGAATTAAAAAGTAGTATGAGAATGGGCCATGCAGTCAGGATCGAATTTTTCCTTCTTTGCAACCTTAGATTAAGCGAGAGGGTCTCAGGCCCCACACCGCTCGTTTGTTTCTGGTATTAGAACCAATGTCAGGTACAGGATATTAAGTGTCCATCTCTCTGATTGGCTGGTGCGCAAGATATATGAAATATTTCTATCAAACCGATAAAAATAATCTAATCTAATCTCCTCTCTCTCAATTCTCAATTCTCATTTTTAAACCCTCCACCA